ACTATCTTGAGGGAGGCCCCGGGGGGCGACCCAGACCGCTGAAAGCGGCAGAGTAGTTCACTGAGAGGTGACCGAGGTCACAGCGGACCGCACCCTGGAGCGAGGCTACACAGGGCTGATCCGCTATCCAATTGCCCCCACTATGTTCCCCACAGGACGGTCCCCTACACGGGAGGTTGGGCGCTAGGCACCCGCGCTCAGTGTAAGATCTGCCCCGCAGGAGGAGGATACCGTTCACCGGTCACGTCGCGAGACGGATACCGGTTCAGGCTTGCCCCCGAGTGTCTAGGATAGAATGTTGGCCATCGGCCAGTAATCCACAGACTCCAACAGAGCCTGCCAACCGAAGCTGACAAGTCGTCGGGCGCCTCCACAGGCTTCCCAGTTTTACGTGGTAGCACCTGCTTCAGCAATAAATGTTCCTCTGCTCTGCCGGACAAGCTGGGCCCCTTCGCACACTGGCAAAAGTACGGCGATAGACAGTGGACACACGAGTATGATACATCCAGTGCTTAGGGCACCACTCCGCGCTGTAAACAGCGACAGAAGGGGGGTCAGAAACCCTATAAAAGAGGAGAGCACCTAAGCCCAGCATTAACACGCTATAAGTTATAGGCTTCATACTTTTTTCGGTCTCTTTTTTTTTCTTCCCTTCATATACCCACCGACTATGGTTAGCCTCGTTGGATGCACACAAATGCAGCACCGGGGGGGGGGGATTTTCCGATAAATTATTTGTGTGAACAAATTTTTCGGACCCCCCCCCCCCAACCCCAAAATAATCCGCAGAATCGTCAGCAAAACCGAGACGGCCGTGAGAGCCACCCACGAGCACATCCCTTTGGGGGGAGTAGGGTTGGGGGGTTAGGGGCTGGGGTTAGGCTGTTAGGGGCCCTAAGGAATTTCTACAGGGTACTCCCTCAGGGTATACCACACCTTTAAGGGCCGTCTCCGGGGCATTCTCCCGGCATAGGGGGGGCCTCTAAGGGGGGTCCCCCAACACCCTCTCTAGGGGGGCTCCCAGGGGTCCTGGAGGCCCCGAAACCGACCCCCCGTGGATTCTCGCGCTGATTCACCTGCGCTAGGTCCCAGCTCTGGCCCGACACCCTCTATTCCCGGGACTCCAGCGTCCCTACGACCCTATTGACCTCACTACTGCATTTCCCAGCCCAGATACCCCCCAGTGGTACATGAGGCCAGGGGGGTCTGAGTAGGTTCGAGGAAAAAGATGAAGAGGGGGGGTCTCGATCGAGGTGCTGCAATTTGACCGCGGGATCACCGTAGATCGGACCTATACTTGAGCTACGGGCCCCCTATAATATTCAAACGCAGATGGGGGGAGGGATTTCTGGTCGGCCGGCCCATTTAAAAAGTCTAATTTTTTCCCGGCACCACTTTCGGCCGCCACCCCTTCTTCACACCTAACCTACCCTGCGATCTTGGTCGGGGAAAATTTCACCAAGTCAATTTGCACACCTGACCTACCCTGTAGAAATATTTTCAGCGCACCCCTTCAGGGCCTTCAGGGGGGCACCCACTGTAGCCCCCTACTATAAAAATCAAAGGTGCCTAGAATCAAGCCCTGAACACGCTGAAGGGGGTCCCTTGGACCACCCGACACCTCCTTTCTAACTTCTTCGGAAGGCCTCTGAGGGCAAGACGGACAGCGGCAATAGACTCTCTGTAGTTGATATAGCCTAGAGAGTATAGCCCCCTATCCCCCAGCGCCCTCCTGAGGCCCTAGCCTATGCCTACACCGAGCCTACCCTGTGATTTCTCACACCTGGCCTACCCTATGATCTCACACCTAGCCTACCCTACGATCTCACACCTGACCTACCCTATGAMTTTCCCTCGAAGAATTGTCGAAGCAGATCGTAGGGTAGGCCAACTGTGAACCTCTCACACCTGACCTACCCTGTAGTAATGTCTCCTCACACCTAGCCTACCCTAGAGTTCTGCTTGGGC